GCCTGAGTGATAACTTGTTCACTGTGTAAAATTAACACAAATGACCAAGGATTAGAATATAATGGCAGCTTTATTAGCTGCAATCACACAGTATTATGTCTAATAACTAAGCAAAACACTAAAATCTACTGAAAATAAGCAAATTAAGAAATAAAGGGGAAAGAGGGGTTTAAGGCTAATGCATTTAAAAGTGTCCTTTATCATAGCAGCAGATGAAATGTGAATGGACCCTGACACAGAGATGTGAACTGCAGTCAAAACAGGGAAGTTTTATTCAGTTTATGGTGAAAAATGAATAATGACTCAGGATTGTATTAAACTATGATGTGGGTGAAAGACCTGTTAGCTTAGCTGGCCCCAGGAATTCTGGGTTTGGTCAGGTTCAACTAAAATAAAGAAAGGGTTAGCTCACGATGTAGCAGTTGGCTTCATTAACACGTGACTTGTTCAGTCTGTACTAGGCATTAGCATTCAGTTAACACTTAAACCATCAGCAGTTGAATCAGAAAGCTTATTTCAAATAAAAACACCAACATGACTATCTATTCTACCTATAGTTCACCCAAGCAGAGCACTTATTAAGCATCAGATGGATAGGAGGGGGAAGGATGCAGTTACTGTTTTTGGTTCAGTGGAGGTAAGGCCTTCAGTTCGGTCTGGTTCCCTACAGACCTGTCTTTCATCCAGTCCGTATCAGAGGGACGTACTTCTGGTGTTCTGCAACAATGTATCGCAACATTTATAAACTTCCATTTCGAGAGGGTTTCCTGTTCAGTAAAAGGCCACAGGACCACTTGAAGTATTTGATGCTTGAAACTGATCCATGATTGCTAGTATGGGATACTTATGTGCAATACTATAGCAAGAAGAGTCCTCCTTAGAAGACTCTGCCTGTGTCACTATGCTTCAATGTACTGTACATTAAATCCAGGGGTTAGGGGTTTTCTGACTTGGCAGATTGAGGCTCTATAAGAATATTGCATTTTCCATCACTCATAAAATCTTGGACCCTTATTTTCATCTATGGGGTTTTCTTGCTGATAGCCAGACTTTGCATAGATTTCTTTTGAATACTTTACTCTAGTTTTTCCAATCTGATACTGATACCTAAGCTGATTGTATCGGCCAATACAAATCCATTCAACTTCTGAATATGTGAATTATATATCTTACCATGTGAATGAAGACTTTAGCCTCAACAACCCTAGTTAAAAAGGTAACAAATGAACACAAAGATAAACATATTATTATTTTTTTTTGTATCAAATAATTGATTTCTGAACCAGCTAATTATTCATTGTTGGAGCCGATATCCGATCCAGGTATCGGATCAGTGCATCCTTACTGCACTCACAGTGATCTAATCACTTTTATCTCCCTGGAGCTGTGTCGTTTTTTCTATTTCTATTTCTATTTGCCTTTCCTTTTAAAGCATTTGAGCTCATTTAAGCTGACCACTCAATCATTTTATACAATTGTTCATATGTTCTTCCTCCAATCACATTTTCTGTTATGTACCCTGTTTGTTTTTTTTTAAGTGTCTGGAGAAATCATTTTTGTCAGGGACTGTAGTATGGGACTGTACTATAACCACTATGAAGAACATTTACTGTTTTTATAATTGAATCCAGGCTTTTATTTTAACAAGTTCTGTCACATAATGCCTTGCTTGAATGCATAAACCCGCTCTGTTATTTGGAACACCAACCTTTGGAATGACATCTCAGTTTAACTCAGTCAGCAGCATGCATGTCATGCCTGATGGCTCTGTTAGTCTTCGTTACTCTACTACCTTTACTAGTACAGCAGATGGTAGATTGCTTTCTACTAGAATCTGTGACAAATCTTTGTGATGTCAGACTGCAGATATTTTTAACAGAACTCTAGTGTTTTGTTTCAACCTCTATTGAGCACAGATGTTTTTGTTTCTATAGAATAAATATGGTGACATCTCTGATCGCCTCGAGCTGAGGAACAGGCTTCACTGCAAGAACTTCACCTGGTACCTGAACACCATCTACCCAGAGATCTTCATTCCTGACCTAAAGCCAGAAAAATTTGGAGCTGTGAGTTAATTTTCTGATCACTAAATGATAAAAGTAACTGTTAGGTGTGTTGCTCTCTTCTCATTGTGTGACGATGGCTGCTTTAGATCAGAAACTCAGGATCTAGAACCTGCCTGGATGTCGGAGAGAACAACCAGGGAGGTAAAGCTGTGATCATGTACCCGTGTCACAACATGGGAGGAAACCAGGTACAATAACTCTGATTTACCAGCAGGAAATGAAGCATTTGATGACTGGATATTGTCCATTTTATTTGGTTCTAATTAAATGATTGTGCTTTTAGTACTTTGAGTACTCATCCCACAAGGAGTTGCGTCACAATATTGGAAAGCAGCTGTGTCTCCATGCCAACGATCAATCAGAGCCAGTGAAGATTGAGCAGTGCCAGCTAAAGGGGAGGGGTACCAGTTTGTCACCACAGCAAGAGTGGATCTTTACAGAGGTGAGATAGACTTCACAACTGGGCAAGTTCCCCTTATCTCATTCCAGATGGATACAACTATACTTGTCCCTCAGAGCAGTAATAAATATTTCTGCTTTCTTTTCTTTTTAAGAATAAGAAAACTCAAATGAAGCTTTAATATCTTAGACCTATTATTACCCAATTTCTTCACATTGTTTTGAAATAATATACTCTCATTTATGCCGCTATGGGTATGGCTAGAAGCAGGTCAATTTCCACTACGTTTAAACAGTAATTTTCATAATATTGGAATACTATTATACTTGCAGTATTTTGTACAAAAACGGTTTGAGTTGTCCAGATGTGATTTGACTCAGCCTAATTATGACTAATCAAGTCAAGTAGGCTTTTTGGTGAATGCCTCATGACAAAATTTTTAATTATCCACTACAAGTCAAAATACAGTTAAAGCTGGCATTACATTTTATATTTTCTAAGATCAGTAAAATTAGTTGTTGGATCTCTTTTTTTGTAGAAAGTTGTAAAGCTCGTTTTCATAGTTTAATCATCGGATAATCTATGTTTACGTAAGGCCATCGCACGTGCTCGACCCTTTAGCTATCCTTTTCTAAGCATTCGCATTTTCAGGCGTATATATGTGGTGAGCTTTGGTTTCAGCCAGTCATTGAAGCTCACCTTTTTCAATGCGGTTCTGTGAAAATGACAGAGGGTCATAAGAGAAAAAGTGTCTACGAAGTGTATAAGAAGAAAAAAAAAGCCTCCGAAGAGGCAGATGTATCCCGAAATGCTTTGCGCGAAGAGCTCTTGTTGCAAGTATGGAATTCGCTGTCAAAGCGGCCCGCTGGCACCATAGGCTGTCGCTACACAACAACGATGACAAATGGCAAAGATGGCGCAGGCACCGTGCAGTGGAGGAGGAGTTACATGACCAATGGAGAGCAAAAAGTAGTGATCATCCGTCTGAATGATAACTTAACTGAGTTCGCTATTGTGCTATTTGTTAGTGATTTAGGGGTTAGGGCGGACGTTCTGACACAGTAAGCTTGTATTAGCTATGAGAAGAGAAACTTTTAAAGAGAGCGTCCACGACGAGAAATGGGTTTGTGCATGCTCTCGAACGCATATTTTTTTGAGGAGAAGACGGGCCTTTTAAAAAATTCCTGAAAAATCCTCCACAATACCTTTTAACTAGAATCATTACATGTAGCATCAAATGTGTGGTGGATTTTTTTATTTATTTATTTTTTTACTTTTGAATATTTGCTGATTTTGTATGTCATCAATAAATGTAGTTTTTCAAATGCTCGTATACTGAAAAATATGTAAACAGTTAACGCTTTCTCTGATTCTGATTCTTTCAGGAAGGTCTTCTGAAGAATCCAAGTGGTGGGAAATGTTTACAACTGAGAGGGGATAAGGTTCAGATGGACCCCTGTAATCCTGCAGATCCCTTCCAGCACTGGAGTTTCAGCTGACCTCCCAGTCTCCTCTTCAGTTGATCTCTGGATATTTGTGTCCCATCCCTGTTATCAGACTGAGCAGCTTGGACCTGAAGCACTACAGAGCCAGAAAGATGCGCTGAAAAGCTTTGGGCGAGTGGCATTACTGATGAGCAGAAGAAAATGGAGGACAATCTAAAGACGATTTCTGATTTAGAGGAAGAAAAAAAAGGAAACCTTTAACTGTGTTTAAATATTGTTATTTTATTTATGGATGGAACTCAGGAAACTCTTATTACTCTGGTTGGGGGAACTTTTGACGTGTGAACTTGGTGATGGCTGTGAGCTGCAATCACTTCAATTCATTTGTTTTACGCTCAGATGGAAAATAATGGACATTAATGTAATTCTTATTTGATCAGATGACTGTGAAAATGTTATATTACAAAAAGATGAGACATTAAGATATTTTTTAAAATTTTTAGTTTTATAAATAGCATTTTTATTTTTAGTGATAAATCATTTTCACTTTAGCCATCTAGAAAAAAAATTCAAAAAGTCTTGCTAGTGAAAATGGTCTGTAAAATGTTTACTTTACTTGGATGAAGTAAAAATAGGTAAAATATTGTCTATTTTATATACTGAAGGATGCATGTTTATATGAATACTACAATTATTAAACCGAGAGTTAAATCTTCAGTGACGTGAATCTCTTTGTATTCTGATTAGATGTTTCCACAGCTATCCTTAATCTGAAGGATTCACTTATGGCTGCTGAATGTTTGTCTGGGGAGCGGCTTTAAAGATCGAAAACATCCACTAATATGCTTCTGTTTTGTCCTACAAAACCTGCAATGTGAGTTTAGAGGGGGTCTGCAAGATTGCCACATGTAATTGAAAGGAGCACATATATTCCCTCAAATTAAACATTTGCAGGGAAGACAGGATCTTTTCTAAAATAAACTTGGTAAATAAAAACACACTACTTAAAAGGGGTGTTTTTCATTTCAACAATAGGTGGCAGCACAGAGTTAAGATTTTCTTCAGGGTCATAGTAAAAATATAAAGCTCAGCATTCCAGCCTGTGGCATGCCTGGAGGGTCACTGTTGGGACAGCAGTTTGCTCAGAGAAGAAGTATGGAGCCCTTAACTCGTACTGAGGTGTTCGGACAGCTCAGAAAGGAGCTATATGGAGACAAGGAGTGGAGTTATTCCAGCGCACACCTATTTATCATCCTGGGAGCATCTGTGAGTAAGATATGACAGCAACTTATAACCATTGACATGTTTACTTTAAACAGATCTTTTTGGGTTCTGAACCAAATTGTAAATGTTCTATAATGATGGTGCCCAATATTTGAAGATAATTACATTGTGCAATAGATATTCATCAGTTAACAGATAAAGAAGAAAAAAATATAGTTTTGACTTCTCTTATATCAATAAAACCTCTGCCTAAACTATTAACCAATGAATTGTTTTTACGACTCAAACACCTCTCTCCGTCCTCCACTTCCACTATATTCAGATCCAATATCTACTTTGGACTCATTGTTTTGTGACCCCCTGAAAAAGCTACTGTTTGTACTGTTTACACAGGGAGATCTCGCTAAAAAGAAAATCTATCCAACATTGTGGTGAGTGAAAACCTACAGCTCACTTATTAACTGACTTGCTACACTCTTGAAAGCCATTTACCCTGAAGAGTTTGACCTTTGGACAAAATGTTCCACATTGCTGCTTGTTGTTTAGGTGCTTATTCAGAGATGGCCTGCTCCCAGAAGATATCCATATTGTGGGTTTTGCCCGGTCTAAACTGACCATGGAGAACATTAAGGCAGCATGTCTGCCATACATGAAGGTATTTAGTCACTCATGTCTGGGCTCTAAGAGAATATTACAGTGCCTTGTCTGTCAATCCTGGTATTTATGTGACATACCAACACAAAGCAGCAGTTTGAAGAAATAAATGTGAAGTTTAAAAAAAAAAAAAAATCAGAAAAGTGTGGCATGCATGTGTAGTCACTCCTTTTCAAGTCTTATATACCGATACTTATATAGGGCCCATTTGAACAATTCAATCTGTGCATATGTACAGCTGTTAAATAAGAATACTGTGCAGACAGGTCAGGGAGAAAATAATGAGAAACGTTGGTTTTAATATCTCACAGGCCACTGAGAAACTAGCTTAAAAATGTAAACCCTATGGCACAAATGCAAACCGATAACCCAAGCCGACAGGTACTGTAAGAAGAAGCTGATTCAGAGAAGGAGCCATCGGGTAACTACACATAAATCCTTAGCTGCATTGCATAACTTGGTCATATCCTTCACAAATTTACCCCTTATGGAACAGTAGAAAACCCGTTTCCAGTTTCGCTCAAGTATCAAATATGGCAATGCAAAAGAAAGTGCTCTTGTTAGATGAGACCAAAAATTAACCCTGAACAAGCCATCTTCACAATGAAACAGAGTATCTTGAGTATCTATCAGAGTATTTCTTAGGATAATGGATAATGGGTATCAGCGTATCTATTAAACTACACAGGACAATCTGTTACATGTGGCAACAGATTAAATACAGAGGCATATGTTAGCCTTGCAGCATCAAATGAAATAAATTAAATCAAAGCATGCAAATGTGTTCAAATGGCCTCATCAAAGTATTGATGAAAGTCTAGGTACCCATTTGGGGCGAGACTTAAGGTTGCCAAGGTTTTCTTTCAGGCCTTTTTGCATGTAGCTTGTCTTTTTGCATTTTGTAGCACTGTTGCTGCAGTAAGAAGAGCCAAGGTTCTGTTTCAGGCCTTTCTGCATGTAGCTTGTCTTTTCATGTGTAGATTCTCTTTGGCATTCTCTTACGATCAAAAACAGGCATTTTTGCTCAAACAGCCACTTTAAATTGCCTTCAGGGATGGAGGTTTTTGGGCATAGCTGTCTGTCCTGTGTGTCTCCATTTTATCCTGTGCCTGATATGTCCAGGATGTACCTAACTTCTCATGCTGAAGACGTGTATCAGCCAACTTCTGATGCTGCATGGAAACGGGGGAAGGCTTGATAGTTGGAAAAGAAATGATCAAATATTAACTAATTTGTTTTATCACATAAAATCCTGATCAAATTAAGTAAAGTTTGTAGTTGCAATGTAACAAAGTGTGAAAAAGACTCTGGAGTAAGGAATGCTTTTGGAAGTTATTGCTTTGACAGTTTTTTTTTTTGGGATGACTGTACCGAGTTTCCTCCTCAGGTTGCAGATGAAGAACTTGATAGTTTATCAGCCTTCTTCCAAAGGAACTCCTATCTGAGTGGTCAGTATGATGATGGCAGCTGCTTCCAACAACTCAACAGTCACCTGTTATCTCTGCCTGGAGGAGAAAATGCCAACCGGCTCTTCTACCTGGCACTGCCCCCCACTGTTTACCACCATGTCAGCACAAACATCAGAAACCACTGCATGAGTTGCAAGTCAGTAACCTCTTTTAGGTATGAGAGATAGTGGTTCTGTTTGTTCTAATCTGCTTTGTTCATGGCAGAGGTTGGAACAGGGTGATCTTTGAGAAGCCATTCGGTCGTGACCTGCAGAACTCCCAGGAGCTATCAGCCCACCTGTCTTCCCTGTTCAAAGAAGACCAGATCTACCGCATAGATCACTACCTGGGAAAAGAGATGGTCCAAAACCTCATGGTTCTCAGGTAACAGGCAAGACAGTTGTATCTCTTAAAGCTTCCAGCACACATTTCCTGTAAAATCAGTTTGCCAACCACTGAGCATGTGATCTTTACTTTGTCTTTGTGTTTGGTTAAATAATTGCAAAAATGTTACATGGTCAGGGTAAAATCTGCCTACCCAAACACCCTTTTTACATTTTGCACATTTCTGAGGACGTTGTATTCGGGCCAAAGCAGCTAATCACATTTATTTTCATTTATCAGGCTTAAAATGATTTGCTTTATGTTTATTACCTTTTTTGTTTTTACTTTTAGATGTAGAGAAAAAGCTCACTTGATCTTTCACATTATTCTAAAAGCTAAGAAAGATTGCTGCTGTTTATTACTCCATAAATCACAGCAAACATTTTCAAAAGGTGCATGATGCCCTTTTTGTGTCATGCAGATTTTGTGGTGCTAAAGGTAAATCTAGTCAAACATCTCATATGGTCAAAACGAACTCCAGTCATCTGGAGATCACAAAGAGTCAAGTTTGTTGGATTGGTAATCCTTGGCTTGTTGATCATCGATTAAAAATGTTACCTTTTACTGTGTGAACTCAAGAATTTCAAACCCATACTGTGTTTTTCAGTGTTCGGTCAGTTGTACTTGAATTAGTGTAAAAAAAGAAAAAGGTGTAAAATTTGACTATCAGAGCTGTAATCTGAAAAGTTACTTTAAATGCATCTTCTTGTAAAAGTGAAACCCTTTAATTTAAAAAATGTTTTTTAGAATGCATTACTTCACTTCCTTGTAGGTTTGGAAATCGCATTTTTGGACCCATATGGAACAGGAACAGTGTGGCCTGCGTCGTTCTCACTTTCAAGGATCCTTATGGAACTCAGGGCCGAGGAGGATATTTTAATGACTTCGGGATAATTAGGTGAAGAAATCCTTATACAATGGATCCCCATTTCACATGAGTTCTCCTCTGACTGATGACATTTTTTTGTAAAGAGATGTCATGCAGAACCACCTGCTTCAGATGCTCTGTTTGATTGCCATGGAAAAACCTGCATCCATCAGCCCAGACGATGTGAGGAATGAGAAGGTATGCGCATCATCTTCATAATCAGAATCCAGTTTGTTGCCAAGTAGCTTTGCACATAAAAAGACTTTTACTTGGTGTTGATGGTGCAGACAAAATAGATATATATACAGAATACAGAATAGCCATATATAATATAAAACATACAATATACTATATAAAATATATATTACTATAGTACTATATAACATATACACAATAGACTGTGCGTTGATGTAACGAAGAAGGTCTGGAGATGCTACTAGCTTCTAGGTTCTGAATGGGGGAGGGAGAGAGGCAGTGACAGTCACTGGGCTCTCTGGGCCTTGTTAACAAGGCTGGTAGCGGATGGGAAGAAAATGTTCTTATGGCGTGAGGTTTTGGTCCTGATGGGCCGCAGCCTCCTACCAGAGGGAAGTGTCTAAAATAGTTTGTGGCTGGGGTGTGAGGAATCAGAAACAATCTTCCCTGCACGCCTCAGAGTCCTGGAGGCTTACAGATGCTGGAGAGATGGAAGATTACAGCCAATCGCCTTCTCTGCAGACCGGATGACACACTGCAGTCTGCCCTTGTCCTTGGCAGTGATGGCATTATTGTGTCTTTCCAATTCTGATGTGTTTTATTGGGCTACAGGTGAAGGTACTGAAACGCATAGCTGCTCCAGATGTGTCAGATGTGGTGCTTGGTCAGTATGTTGGAGATCCAAACGGGGAGGGAGACTCCAAGCTTGGGTATCTCGATGATCCCACAGTACCAGAAGGCTCCAGCACACCAACGTTTGCAACTGCAGTGCTCTATGTCCGGAATGAAAGATGGGATGGTGAGGCCTTGCTTCTCTTTCTCTGTTTCCTTTTTTCTGCAGCTTCCATGTTTTAATTTACCAATTATTCCTTTAGGGGTTCCTTTCATTCTGCGCTGTGGTAAAGCCCTGAATGAGCTGAAAGCGGAGGTGCGCCTGCAGTTCACAGATGTCCCGGGAAACATCTTTGCTGAACGTTGTCAGAGGAATGAGTTGGTGGTCCGGGTTCAGCCTGACGAGGCTATTTACCTAAAGATGATGACCAAGAGACCTGGAGTTTTCTTCAGCCCAGAAGAGACTGAGCTGGACCTCACTTATAAGAGCAGATACAAGGTATTAGCAGGTTCCCTTTTATCTATAATTCTGCTCCAATTGTTAAGCCTAAAATACAGTTTTCATTTAGCTTTAACACAAATCATAATTAGGTCTCCCTATGGACAAATAATAATGACTTCATAAGATTAAATAATGCACAAATATGAAGGCTGTGAAACCTCTGACCACAGCTTAAATCAATTTTTATAAAAACAGGTTGAGCATAAAATTAATATTTTTTAAAACAAAAAAATAAAAGTTACTTACTAAAAGAAAACATTAAAAAAAAGGTTGTTGTTCATTTGATTTTTTATATGTATATTTTGCTAAATTCCCTTTAAAAAATGTCTGTTTTCTATGAAATATTTGTTTAGATTGTCTTTTATTACCTTGTTGTTTTGCATTTCTGCTACTTTGCATCGGTCAAGTAAAGAAGTAAAAACATTGTATTTAAACCTCTTATTTTGTAAAATGGAATTTGAGCTGTATTTTAATATAGAGCAATGTTATTGAAGTTTCCAAAATAATTGTCTAATCTTTTCTTGGTTAATGATGACGTAAGCATACATGTGGTTAAAATGTTTTTGCAGAATGTTAAACTGCCTGATGCTTATGAAAGACTGATTCTGGATGTCTTCTGTGGAAATCAGATGCACTTTGTCCGCAGGTTTGTAGCATCATCTATTGTACTTTTATAAGTAACAGTGCACATTGGGTTTTAATCATGTTTGGAAAATGAGCCAAATTGACCTAAAAACACCATATAGATGAGCTGCAGATTGAACTACGGTAATCTGGAAAGAGGAACAGTGGCATGGATCAATCATGTTAAAATTTGTGAATAAGTATAAATTGGGAATTTAGTTGAAGGGGGTATGCTCTGTCACTGTGGAGTATGTTATAACTCAACTAAGTTTTTTTTTTTTTTGTGTGTATAGAAATAGATGGGAAACAATGACCTGGGACTATTAAGGTTTTATTTCTTAAAGTCAGATGCTATATCCTTCCCCTTACATAGAGGTTCTTTTGGATTAGCCACATGTGAACAAGTTTTTTTCATTGCTCATGTGTTAATCTCCTTCCACAGGGAAAATATGTATGATAGAAAGTAGTTATTCAGCACGATCAGAGGAAAAATAACAGCTGCTTTAAAGGGGACCGATATAGTGGTTTGTTAAATGGGATGCATATTTTTTTCTATTTTCTTAATTAACTTACATGCAGACATGTGGCTGTTACATGCCCAGATTGCACCTTATTAAGCTCTTAAATTAAAAAAAACATAAACAACATAAACAACACAAAGTCTGAATCTGTCATCTGTTAGTTTGGTGTATGTTTTTTTTCTTTTAATTGGTTTAAATATAAAATACCCTACTCTTCATTCAGTGACGAGTTACGAGAAGCATGGAGGATCTTTACACCACTTCTCCGACAAATGGAGGATGTAAAGAAGTATCCCATTCCTTACACTTATGGGAGGTAAACTCTCTTGTTTTAATTATATAACAGGAAGTATACAACAGAATGAAAAATTAAAGATACCATTGTTATTTTTAAACATTTCTATTCTTCCTCCTCTGTCTTTTTCCTTGTGTCTATAGTCGTGGTCCAAGTGAATCAGACGAGCTTATGCAGAGGGTGGGCTTCCGTTACGAAGGAACATACAAGTGGGTGCATCCCCACACAAGCTGATGCTCCACTTTGTGTTAATTGCATGCACAAATTCACTAAAACCTTTTGTATGTTTACAAAGAATAAAGTTGTCTGCAGCCATCTCTGTTCCAGTTTAATTTTGTCTGCATGTACTCATAAAAGCACAGTGTTTTGTCCCCAATCAAACATTAGCTAATGTAGAAGTAACACAATATAACAGTATGATTTCACGTGCTCTGTTCATCTGAGATTTTCACCTCAGTCGTTTCACCCTTTTGTGTAAAAATGAAAAAGAATGTATCAGTTTGCACTGAAATCAGATCCTATAAGGCTAAAAGGAGGACAAACTGCAGCTTGGTAAAGTATAGGGGCTAAAGAATGTGGATAATGTATTCATTCTTTAGAACAAGGTAATTTAAAGCTGCTTCTCTGCTACTGACAAAGCTGTATTTACAGTAATCACCAAAATGCAATGATGCAACTTGTGATTTACGTAAAGCCACACCACCTAGCTGATACAGTATACCAGGAGGACTTGTTGGACTGGTTAGTCTGGGAGATGGCGCCTCTCCCAATAACCGTCCACATGGACAAACATTTGTCATTTCTACAAACAACTTGTTGGTAAGTGTATCTAAGCTTAATCAAATGGAATAATATTTTAACCTGTAACAAAGTATGACCTGTCCTGTTTCTTTTAAACAACAGCTTAAATATCCAGAATATGGCTGCATGATTTGACTAAAAATGAAAACTGCAATTATTTTAAACCAATATTGTGATTTTATTCTGATTTTCCTTTACACCAACCAAAATCATCTAAATGCTTTTCTACAGGATTTAAGTTTTTTTCATGGCATTAAAAGCTTGCTTGTCTAGAGTCAATTGTTGCTGGACTTTACTGTAAACTTTGTTTGAAAAAGTGCTAAATTCGATTTGCATGCATGGATCTGTGTGCTAGCTGTATCTCTCCCCCCTTCTGGGTGGTGGCAAACCCACTTTATCCATATTGATCTCACCTAAAGGGCTAGAGTGAGACATTTTTCTATTTACTATAGATGTATTATGATGAATATTGAGTGTCTCCACATTTTGAAAATTGCATTTTGCTTTGCGATTATATTGCAAATGTAATTAATTGCCTAGACCTAATCCTGACCCTCTAGAATTTTTCTCAGTTGATTTTGTAACCAAAAAACTACAAAATTGTGTATAATTTAGATGTGGGGAGAAGTGCATGAATCCCCGTTGAGATACCACACTCCAAAACTACCTTTTGATGCAATAACTGCTGTAAAGCTTTAACAATCTTTTTTCCACCTCCACATCTACAGACTGAAAATGGTGGCCATCCTTTTCCCTAATAACACTTGGACAGGTTAGATAAAGAACTCTGAAGAATTCTTAACACAGCATCTAAAAGGGATTTTGGTCTGGACTTTGACTTGACCATTCTAAAAAGGTGCTTCGAGCTTAAACATGAACTTATAGCTCTAGTTATATTTTTACCACCTCAGCCCAGCAGGTAAGGGAACCTCCAACAAAATATTCTGAAGTTTGCAGCATCTTATAGATTTACTTTATAAAAACGCATATTTAGTACCAATTATCACCTTTGAAACTCTGACAAACCTAAATGTCTACTCAGAAGAAAAGCTTTCCCACTGCATGATGCTGCCACTACAGCAATATTGTATGGTTGGGGATTATTTTTTCAGGTTTGTCTCTGAACATATTTTTCGCCACCTTTCATTTAAGGAAACAAATAGGTGATCTCTTTTGACCAGAGCACCACATTGACTATGTTCCCTGCATGGTATATGGCAAACAAACTGTCAGAATGTTTTGCACAAATGTTTTTGTCAAGAAATCTGGTAAATGCTAATTAATTCTGCTACCTGAGCTATATATCTCTGCAGCTCCTTCAGAGCTACCGGGATCCCCCGTTTGCTTCTCTTCTTAATGTTCTGCCTGATTTTTATTTTTTGGTGAAGAAATTATCTTGGCTGTTTTGTCGATGTGCCATACTCTTTCAGCTATGAAACAACAAACTGTAGAGTACCCTCTAAAATGTTTGAAGCTCGACATGTTTGTTTTTCGTTTCGGAGACAAAGGCCAATTGTCAGAGTAAAGAGGGGTGTATGCCACACTTTAAATATTTCTATTTTTAAATAGGAATTGAAAAAGAAAAAACATACCTATTTAATTTCTGCTTCAGAGCTTTAGACTATTTTGTGTTGCTTACAAAATCTGAATACAATAAACAAATATATGTGCCTACAATGTTGGAAAGTTCATTGCATATAACTATATCTGTAAGACATTTGGATCTACTGCCCACAGTTGAATGATCTTGTTTTTTTTCTCTCTACCAGCTGTGTACCCTAAATGGAACTACTGTACACGCCTGCACAGATCAGAACCTACAGGGATCTTTCCTGGGATTCAGAAAGTTGTGGGAAGAACAATATCGGTGGACATGTGTTCAAATAAGCAAGTCTACTGCGCTTGGTTTACTACAGTAGTAAAATTGTAGCTGTTTGGTTAGTTGATGAGTCAATGTGTAGTCTAGTAAGAAACTCATCTATCTCCTTTATGATCTGAATCTGTTGCTGTTTTGATTCACACTAATAAAGAAATGTTAAAATACATGTTTTTAATTTCATATATCTTGCAGCCTCAGTCAACATGCCTAAATTCTCTTAAAGAAGACAAAAACCATAACAGACTAGAAGCAGCAAACATGACGTGGACAGTAACGGATACACTTTTTTAAAAGGAACAACAGTCTCCATTATTAGCACATAGAAATGGAAAATAAACCAGCACAAACATGTATAAGGTTTTAGATATAAATAGTCCTTTCCTTAATATTACAGTGGAAAAGTAGAAATTAAAGTGCCTGAAATACGAGGAAAGGTTGCACTTTACAATAACAATCATAATAAATGTTAAAGAGACAATTTATTAATGGTTAATATTTTATTTATTTTATAAAATGATTTTAAGCCATTTATGAAAGGTAAATGGGTCATATTGCCCTGCCATGTTAGTTTAGCCCTAACATCAGTGGACTTAAGATCTGAACCTAGCCTTTATTTTTATTTTAACTTGCCCTGCCATGTTGCACCCTGACATGAGTGGGATTAATATTTACCTTTTATAAATAGTTTAGATGCATATAACATTAAATAATCTGTTAAATATTAATAAATGGTCTCTTTACCATTTATATTTAAATCATTTTAGTGGTTATTGTACACTGTAACTTGAGGACCTCCTTGGCAATGAAACTGCAGGACTTGCTGCAGTTTCATCAATTCTACAAACGCTTGAACACCCATCTGATATATTTTATATGGATTGTCAGACTTCATCTGGGTAGGCTACACGTTCTGTTGCACTCCAGCCTCTCCTCAGCGCAGTCTTTTAAGGAGGCCCCGTCTTCGATGCCCCTGGCATACAGACGCACCAACTGGCCATGAATCCTGAGAAAGGCAGCATAGTAAAAGACAAAGCTGATTATGAGTCACAGGATGCCTATCTGTGTTTGAGTGCACTGTAAATGAAAGACTATCAAAGACGTGACAGGCTCAGCAAGAGGCAACATGATGTTCACTTACTTGCAGAAGATTTTAGGAAAAGGCAGAATTTCTCCGTCGCAGTTCCAGACTGACGCAGTAGGAGCTTTTCTGCAGCACAGGCCACACATGAAGGGGTTTAGTGTTTTATCCTTGTTTGTCTTAGTCTGTCCCTCCGGTCTTGTTGCCAGGTTTTGCTTCGATCCAGCTCTGCTTGTACTTCCATTATATCCTCCATCTTCTCCATCCATCCCAACATTTAGACCGCTGTTGTCCTCTGCCTCCTCTCCTTCGCTCGCCAGGGAGAAACGCACGGCCTTCACACGATGAACCTCCACAAACGGCAGGTCAAACTAGGAGACAGGTGAAAACAGAAAACAAAGCGTCATTGCAACCTTTTTAATGTCTATTTAGCCTCTTTTTTCAAAATAAGGAACCCATACCTGGTCCTGAGAGGTTGTGTGTCTGTAGAGATAGGTGAGGAAGCCCAGAGGGTTAGTGTCCCATACTAGGATAAGATCTCCTGTTCCATCAGCCAGGTGGGCAGAGGGAGAGAGTCCCAGAGGACTTTTGGCGCATGAGCTGGACATGCATGTTAGAGACACGCATTTAAACCTGCCGTCCACACTCACCCAATCATCTAAAGAAAGAAACAGACAGGCCAGGTTCTAGTTTTAAATTCCATTCTTGCACTTACCCTGCATGGTCATCAGCAAAGAATAAATAAAATAAAACACTTAAAGAGTACTGTTTAATGTCTATTTATGACACGCTGCAAAAATATGACCATAAGTAAGGAAAGTTAATACATATTTGGTTTAGTACACTTATTAACTGTTAATCTATGATTAAGATCTAAAAATTGAAAAGTAGATCTATTTAACCAAATCCATCACTAAAGAAAACCCATTATATGGATCAATTATATCCAGAATGACAAGCCTTTATGGTAAATTTAATTATCATAAGAATAACAAGGACAGGACAATAAACTTACGTTTTATATTGACTTTTCTGGGCCTTAATTGTATAAAAATAATTTTGTTTTTACCTTCTGATTCATTACTGAACGGCCCAGAGTAGGAGCTGTACAGAGAGCCTTCATCCGAGGAGTTTGTGAAAAGTTTCTCTGTGCTTTTGGAGCAAACACCACACCTAAAAACACACACAACACACAGAGGGCCGGATTTATCAAGATCCAATTTTGCGTGCAGTAATTTGCGCTCGCAAACTGGAATTTTGCGCGAGGGGCTGAACCATGGTTTGCGGGTGATTTAACAAGAGCGATTGCGTAACTGGTGGAAGGTGCAAAACTGTTGGAGACGCCCTATTTAAATGATGGTTTTGCGCGTTTTGTGGTTTGCGGCAAAGTAGTTTGTAGTCTGTACAAACTAGTGCATTAAGAAATTTAAATCTTACAGTGACCCCCAACAAAAAAAATAAATAAGTAAATATATATATATATATATATATATATATATATATATATATATATATATATATATATATATATAAATTGGCAACCTTTATTCCCTAAGGTGGTATGTGCTGCAGTAAAAAAAAAACACAAAAAAAAACAGGTGTTTTGTATTGGCCTGTGACTGTGGATGAGATCCCCGCAGCATTTGGCACGTTGCTCCACAGGCGCAGGGGGAGAACCCCGACCCCGTCGGACAGAACTTCTGAAAAAACGAGATTGGGAGATCCCAGCTCACGCTCCAACCGTACGCTGGAATGACCCAGATGCAAAAAAGTGCAATGTTGCAAGGAGTTTTGTGATATCTGGTATTGCGTGGGTCCTCCTGCTGGCTGGCTCCAGATCCATTCGGAGTTCCCCCAACAGCTCCAAAATGGCAATGCTGGATAAACGATATGTTTTGATGATCGTTTCCTCGTTCATTGCAAAAATATTCACACGGAGTGAAACAATGCGTCTCCTTGCTTTATTTCCATGTCTCCTTCTTGCGACAATAACCGCTGCCATGTGTGCGCAATTACGCATACAGACCATTTGCACCTTCTTTTGAAACGTGTTAAATATAGAGTCAGATACCGTTAGCAAAATTGCGTTCAGGTTTGATAGATCACTTTGCGAGTGCTAAATTAATATATTTACATGTTCTCCTCCCACAAGACGCACTTTAGCGTGTAAACGCCCCATATTGCATATTCATTGCAGAAAAAGTACTAAATGGATCAGAGGCGCTATTTAGCACGTTTTAAAGACCAAATGTTTTTAGCACGCTGTTGATAGATCAGTTTGTACATTTTTTAGCGTGCGCAGTGAAATAGCTCACGTTTTAATACACGCAAACCTTTGATAGATCCGGCCCAGAGTTTTAAAGAGCTCCTAAATTCTAATGCCTACTCATAAAACGGTCCTAAAACAGTTGCTGTCAGCCAGAGGTAGCGTGCTTAAACAAAGACTGAGGCGCACACTCCTAACACCAGGTTGAGTTTCACCTTTCATATAGATCAAGTTCCTGCTGTCATCCTCCTTAAGATACACCCAACACCCCGCTGCAGGTGGTAGCGGTTCCAGTGTCCCAAGCTTTGCCCTTGAGCATTTTCTCCCACACAGCCTACATGCATGTTTTTTTTTTCTTTTCTTATTAAAGGGGTTTAGGGTTACAGAAAATCATCACCATCCTTTGCCTCAGATAACGTAGATTAGGACACATTAAAGGCTGAAGGGAAGATAAAGTGATATGCAAAATATATATAAACCCTGGTTAAAATGCCATGCTTTGCAGAGTAACAAAAATTATGAAAAATTTAAACACAGTGAACTGTTAGGAGGAAAATTTCAAAGTGCTGGCTTCATAACTGTGGGCAAATTTTGAACACTGGCTGATATTTTAAACATTTAGTCTCAGGCATCCCAGTTCTTTTCCTAAGCCATTTTGAAGTCCAAGGTGTTCAAACGTTTTTTTTATTTGCACACATGCTTCTACTTACTGAGAAATAAAATGCCTCTTCGTATTCACTCCCAGAAACATAACTAGAGGTTTTGGGTTGACACTGACCATTACCTTTGACTATAAACAACCATATTTTTTAAGTTCTAAATTCGATTTGAACAAAAGTAACCACCGAGAACAATGCCTCCACCACCACGCTTCACTCTGGGTGAGGTGTTTGTTGGGTAATGCATTATTTGCCAGAGATTTAGATTTTAGAAACATGGCTCCAGTTTTATTAGACCATTAGACATTTCACATGAGATTCTGGGAGTTTTTTAGTGGAGACTTCCTTTGGTAACTCCTCAGGTCAGACATATTGAGAAAAGCCTTTTCTCTGAATTTTGCTTTTGGTGGTTTTTCTTTCAATCTGTTTTAAAAAAACTTCAAGATTTTGTTATTTTTGTCACACATTTCTTCTAACTTTTGATTACTTAATAGTATCATCCATCTTATCTCATTCTCCTGAACGATACATTGATAATGATAATTATAATAATTGATCATTTTGATCCTTTGTAACATCTCTACAAATAATGGCTTTACCTAAGGAAACCAAATTATCAAATTAAAAAAGAATTATATATAACAAAAAGCAGCCGTAGTCCATTTATGCAACCAGGTTATTGCAGCTTTGTTTTTTTCCTGTATATGAAGCGATTGATCAAAAATCTAAATTGTTTCACATCCAAAAACCTGCCTAAATTCAGCAAAGTAATGATCATTTATTAGATTTGGAATTTCTCTTTTTGCAGTAGTTTTTAATTTAACTGTACCAAAACATAATTATGTCTTTCTGCCTAACTAATCATGGTGTTAATCATGGTGTCAACAACCACAGCCATGTACTGCTTCAACATTGCATGTTGTCAAACCCTTAAAAAATGAACTTTCCTTTGTTCTTTCATCTTCAACATTTTTGCACACAGTTGTTTGTGTAATAATCTATCAATGGTTGACATTTTACCCGGACAAGCAGCGGGTTTTATCTCTCGGGCTGGACATCAGTGGGTCTGCTGGCAAATACTGGACGGTGCCCCTGTAGCTTCTGTTACTCAGAAACACCACTGCACCTAAACAAAACAGATCACATGAATTGGATAGAAAT